AAGAAAATTTGAATTATATTGTTATGTGCTATAGTTATTAACGTTAAGTAGTGGCCGATACTTTAACTTCGTAGTCGATTAAGCTCAAATTTCAAAACAAATGAATATATAAAAATGAATATATATATATGTTTAACTACGATTACGTATATCGTATATGTTTGAAAAGTATAGTATTACGAGTACAGTGGATTCCGACTTCCGCACTCTGGGTGTAGATACTATTAGGCACATCAAGGTACAGTGTCTTTCGATCAACTATTTTAAAACCATATATTCCATACGTAACAAAGTGTTATATAATATTCTTATATRTATATTTAGTTATGCATAGTTATGTTGTTGAAAACTTGAAATGTGAAAAAACGAAAGAATAACATCAAGTCCAGTTCACCAGCACATAATTGCTATTCATTGCATTATTATTTATTTATTTAGTAGGTATTAACTGAAATCTGCCCTAGTACAAAATATGAACATATGAACCAACCTACAGACTATAATGATAAAAGTTATAACTGTAATCGAAAAAAAAATCTATTGCCTAGAACGAATAATAATAGTGATACATAATAACAATAGTTAAACTTATATAAGAGACAATTATTAGTAAAAACAGAACATTATTATACGTGAATACTCATACAGATAAGTTAAGAATATTATATTTGAATKGCACGCCATAATTTTTACGAAAATCCTACAACACCTGAAGTAAATGGTAACGCATCTCCTAGATGCATAAAAACATTAATATAACAACAATTATTAAATATTAAATTATATACCCAAATAAAAAAATTTAATTTAATTGGAAAAAAATTCATCTATGTATGTAATTAATGGTGGTTTTAAAAGTTTTCATTAAGTAATAGTTTTTAAATATTTATATATCTGTTTATATGTATGTATAATGTATAGCACCTATGCATTATTTTTACGTATAATGGTTTTTTCTTCATATTTGATATTTCATATATTTTTTGTGGCCCCGRCGGATATTGTATATTTATTGTAAAATAATTATAGTGTAACTTTGCTCATTGTTTATGTCAAACACATTTTAATAATTGTAACATAATATAATATTGGTATGTGTACACTGTGCATTATTAAAGTGGTTACCGACGGTTAAGCAACTATATATTATAATATATTAATGTACATAGACTCAAATATTCGATAATATGATATTATGTACGATTGTATTGTGTGTGTGTGTGTGTCCAAAATGAGTAGGTACTTACGCAATTCGATGCCACCGGTTTTGATGATCGCCGCCCTGGCGACTGCGGAAAACGCGGCCAGTAAAAGTATGACTGCGTTACGCATATTGTTGCAGTGGTCGTAGTTACAGGTAAGATAATTTACTGGATGTGTGTTATGCACGGACGATTGTCGAGCAATAAGCGATCCGTTTGGCTACCATTCCGCTTTATAGACGAGCCTCGAGTTCTTGGAGGGAAAGTGTACACATAATATGTATAATTTCATCGAGTCGTACACTCGTACGGAAGGAGAGGGCCGAACCGCTGCGTCTCTGTCGTCAGATACTCAGATATTATTTATATATAATATAATATAATATGTAATACGTATTTAGGATAAATTGGTTAACTTCGGCTATCGCAATATTATATATATATAGACGTTTTTAAACGATTTTCTGGTAAACTCAATTTTCGTAATTTCAWTTACCATATAGGTCAACACGGCGTTGTATTAAGAATTTAAGACAATATAATATGAGTAGGTAAATGTAGGTTTTCCCGACAAAACTGTTTTAATTTATTATAAAAGCGATGTATACAGACTGCCAACTAACCAATTATTTGTAATGCGCATTCTCACCTTAAAAATATTGGATTTGCCTTGAAAAGAAAAATTGTTACGATCTTATCAGTAGTGCCTATATTATACCGGAGAAACCAAGAAACCAGTAGGCTGGGTCACAGATTCAAATCTAATATACAGATATTTTGGAAATAAGATTATGTAAAATCCTAACCTATCCTTACATTAACTCACAGAGAATTATTAATATGTCAGCATATACTTCACGTTTTAAGTTTTTTTTAGGAAGAGGGAAGAGCTATTAGATATTACTTTTTACCTATATTGACTATTGAGTATATACTTATAATATTTATCTTGTAGATTACGAAACTGTCTAAAAATAATATAGCCATGTGTCAACCAGTGTTAATCCATAATCACAATAACATTATTGATGTAGTATAGATTCTAAGCGGGGCGATAAAATGTATTGATTTTACAATAATTATTTCTACTTTTTTATTACTATTTTTATATCTGTGTCTGTCTGAACGACAAGTAGTTATAGTAAAATAATACTTTAACTTTCAACTTGAGTAACTTTTCTGGTGGGAAACTGAAAATATTTGGT